ATAATTATTTTTAAAATAACTTAATTTATTTTTTGAATTTGAAATTAAATATCTATAAATTTTTGCCATTGATTCAAGACTTTCAATATTCAAATTTTGTCATTATTTTCTAATTATTCAGTCCAAAGTATAAAAAATTCTTTCATAATTAGATGAATTTAGAATTATAGAAAAAATTTTGATTACAAAATTTTGAAGGTAATTTTTATTATTATAATATGTATTCCATCAAATTAAAAGAATATTATAATTATTGTCATATGGTAAGTTATAAGAATGTTTTTGAAGCTTGTATCTTTGAATTTATAATAATAATTTAGTACATCTATTTTTACTATATCTCTATTCTTAAACAATTTTTTTAATTTTTATCAAAATTAAAGTAAAACTTGTATTATAAATTAATAGATTTAATAATAAAATAATTAATATTTTTATAAATATTTTTATAAATATTTTTAAATATACTTTTAGATTATTAAATATAAATCTTAATTAAATTATTTATATACTATATATCTAATAATTAAAAAAATAAATTGATATTTAAATAAAATTATAGAAATTAAATAATTGATCATTTTATTATTATTATTATTTTTTTTAAAGTAAAATAGGTCTACTTTATAAGTATAGTATTAAGTATATTACTTGATTTGGTAAAACAATTTTACAAACTCTTTTTCTATATGTTATCTAATATTATATTGTTAAAAAGTTAATTGATTGGTATAACCCTTATTATATGCTACTTTTTGAGAGAAAAACCAATATACTTAGACTCTATTAGCACTTTATATTAATAAGTAAAAAATGATTTATGTTTTTATAATAATTTTACTAATAATGTTATTCTATATTTTAGATTTTTTTTATAAATTATCTTTTTTATATCCTATATTTGATATATTTTTATTTTTATTTCTTGATCTTGAAAGATATGTCTTAATCTTTTTTCTATTATGTCATTTTGCAATATCTGTTTATTTAGATATAATATGTTATAAATATAATTTATATTATTATTAATATAATAGTGTTTATTAATTTGCCTTGTCTAATTGTTTCTTTGATAAACTTATTCAGTTTTATAATAATTTTTTCTTCAAATATTAATATATTTAGTTATAATATATTCTTATATATTTTTTGTTTTATGGTTTTATAGTAACTATTCATTTCTTTTTATTATTGAATTCTTTAATAATACAGTTGTTACTTTTTTATATATATATAGTATATGCTATTATATTTTTAAATAAATGGATAATTATTATTTTTTTTCTATTGTACGGCTGTTTTATTGTTTATTTTTATACGGTATACTCTAAGTAATCTTTTATATGATTTATACAGTTAAAAAGAGTTCTTGATTTCATAATTTTATTGTAAATATTTATTGTTAATAGTTTTACCAGTTGATATATTTTAATATTATCTTTATAGTATAGATATTCCTAAAGATTAATTTTTCAATTGATTTACTATTTTTTTCATTAGCATAATACTACTGATTTAATATCTATTTTTTTTACTAGTTTTTTTCCAATAACATAATTGTGTCAGAATAATTTTACTTGATTTTGGATATTAAACTATATTATAATTTTTATATAAATTATTTTATAATCATATTAAAAGTTCTATTTGATTAGTAATTAGCAATTATATTTAAAAGTATTAGTTAATTTACAGTTATATTAATAAAGTAGATCTATTAGCAACAGAAGTTGCTTTCAGAAGGATTGCATTTAGTAACCTTGTAATATAATCTATTGAGATTAACTATTGTATTATTGGTCTATAAATCTCTTATATATCATTTTATTGGATTATTAGATTATTATTATAGATCTTTATGTTACTTGTGACAGATTTTTATAAATTAGTTTATGACTATTTATATAAAATAAAGAAAATAAAGTAAAAAAATTTTAAAAATACTTTAAGAATTAATATAAAATAAAATTAATTTTTATAAGAAGAACAATTCATAAATTTTGTTAATATAAAAAGTTTAAAAAAATATTTAAAAAAATTATTATTTGCTGTAATTAAGTAAAAAAAAAATATAGATATACTACAAAAAATAAAAAATGTATGACTTCCAAAAACAAAATTAATAATTTTATAACAAATTATGAAAAAAAATTTTTATTACTTGAAAAAAACAGAATAGAAATATATATTCTGAAATATTATTTTTTAAAACATTATTTAAAGATAAATAATATAGAATAAAAAATAATTGAATTCTTATTTCCTTAAATAATATTTTTAAAATTTTATAAGAATAGTTCATAAGTATTAAACTTTATAATTAAAGAGTAATTCAAATTACAAAAGAAACAAAATATTATTATTTAAGTTGTATTAGAGAAAGAAATTTTAATGACAGGTGTACTAATATATAAAAGTCATTTAAATTGTAATTATTTTATAATTTATAATAAAAATATGTCATATTAATCTAACAGTGAGTTAAAAAAATTAGAATTTATTAATATAATATTTTGCTTAAAATATTTATTAAAAAATATGGAAACTTTTATAACTTTATAATTACAATAAATTAAATTAAATAAAAAATTGTTAAATTTTACTTTATATTTTGAAAATATTAATTTATAAATTTTAATCAACCAAATAAAAATTATTATAAAATTAAAAAATATTTAATGTATTTGATACTAATATTATCAATTTAATCAAAATAACTTATTAAAAATATAATTGTTTTTTAATTATAATTTTATAATATTTTTCAAATTCAAATATTATATATTAAACAAAATTTTTTTTTGTATTTTGTTTTGTTATAAAATATTTTATTTAATATTATTCTATTAATGATAACAAACCAATATCAACAAATAAAATATTTGGGGATAACAAAATATTATTAATAAATAAAATCAAATTAAAAATTTTTTTTTTCGTAAACTATAATAAATTATTTGTAATGTGTTATAAATAATTTGAATGATTAAAAATAAATTGATTATTGGCGTCAAATAATATAATCAATTTAATTGTTCATTAAAATAAAATAGCTTAATCAACATTTAATTTATAAACAAATAATAATTATTTATTGATAATAAAATGAATTGGTTAAAAAAAAATGCATTTCAACATAAATAAATTTTTAAAAAAGAAAGAATAGATAATAATAAACAGAGCCATCTAAGTTAGGATATAAAAAAAAATTAATTGATAAAAAAATTCAGAGTATTAATTTTACTTTTCGGGTATACTTCAATAAAAGAAGACGCGGAATCTACCCGTTTACTTTTTATCTCTTCACCCATAAATAGCGAGGAATATGAAATCTTATTTTGAATATAATTTATTCGATTGTCCAATAAATATTGAGCTGGATGATTGTGATAAGTCCAACCAAAAATATATTAAATCAACAGCTATAGGAAAGAATACTACACGAAATGAAACTGAATAGGTTATTGGAGCATGAGATTATTTCACTCGGAACTTTACAGACAAATGTCAGATTTTAAAAATATAAAAAAGGGAACAAGGTCCGTAATTATTTTGTCGTACGAGAAGCCTCTGCATACATACTTTAAAACCACTGTATTTTGTTTATTAAAACTGACATTAAATGAATTTTTCCGGAGTATCGGATTTCGGAATACGTATTGCATTGTAGGACCGCATTTTGCATATTAAAATAACTGCGTACGTACCACATTTCATTATATTAGTTACACACGGAATTCGACTTGCGATTATGCTATTCGTATATGACTCGCGATCGTATCAAATTTTCAAGAAAATGATCTTTAACTGATAGATAAAAATGAGCCTTTATAATAATCTAAAAGAATTGATAAAAAATACCGTAGAGTTTAAGTATGATTCATTTGAAAACATAGGATCCATTCCGTCATCAAGTAACATTCGAAAAGCTTACTTGAGAGGACCCGATAAAAACGTTGTGATCAAATACCTAAGGCAAAACAAGTATAGAAACGAGGAAGAATACTATGAATATTTTATAAGAGAGGTTGGTACTATTACTAGTAAATTACAATATTCGACACGATCATGGAATTTAATGAATTTCAAAATAACTAGGCTCAAAATGTAATTAAAGTGAATGCAGTTTCTTCTGGTGAAAGCATAACCAAATTTTTAGGAATTGGCAAAGGTATCTCCCTCGTCAATGGCACAGGCCTAGTTTATATATTGTCTAAAGCAAATAAATATTCTTTTTGGTGTGTCTATTTAGAACCTTCACAGAAGTTTTATTTTATGGTATTTCAATACGAATGTGATGATAACCTCAGAACACATTTACAAAAAAAATTCTCGGAATTAAATTGGTTTACTAAAGTCAAAATGGCCAAAGACATCATAGAGGGCTTGAAATATATTCATTGCGCAAATATCATACACGGCAACTTGGTGAGTACACACTATCAATTTCTACGAAATCTGCATGTATAATTATTTGGTGACACGCAATTTGTTTTTTTTTTTGTTTGTAATGTTGTTAGAACTCGGAAAATATATTGGCCTATAATGGTAAACTAATTATTGTGGGATTTGGTTCATCGATATCTCTTGATGATCCTAATAATGAAACTCAGGTGAATCCTCTTGACTCTAGGATGTTGGCTTATGTTGATCCCCTATTCCTTAAGTCTCAAGATTATAAAAAAGGGAAATCTTCAGATATCTATAGTCTTGGAGTATTACTATGGGAGATATCAAGTGGGGTGTCTCCTTTTGCGAATACTGGATGGAGTGAATTGACCCTAAAACTTAAACTTATTTCCGGCCTTCGTGAGAAACACATTGACGGAACGCCGGTAGATTATAAAGATCTTTATTGTGATGCGTGGAACGGAGATCCCGAGGAACGGCCGTCAATCGAAAGCTTTTGTCATATAAATATAGACTATGAACACATATATAAGAACTCGGATTATACTCCGGAAATTTCTAGTAGAAGAATGGTCCCAGTAACTGCAAAAGCAGACTGTTTAAACATAATTCAGGGATTATCTCGTGATGAATATTTATTTCTCAATCCGTTTGAGACATCACTAGGAAGAGGTCTTACGAATAACATTATTTTAAAGGATCAGGAGGTTTCCAAAGAGCACGCAAAAATTATTAATTCCCAAGGAAGGGTCTCAATCGAAGATTTAGGTTCATCATCGGGAATTTTTGTTAATGATCGCAAACTTCAAAGTCACGAGAAGCGAACCCTAAAGAAAGAGGACAGGATTAGAATTGGCAAGTGCATCTTACAATATCTTCCGGCTGGAGAATATGAAAATCGTCTAGATCGTAAGTTAATGATCCCTGGAGTTTATAACGATGATCATTTTATGAAAACTCTGGAAGATGAAATAAAGAATGCAAATGGAAAAAAAAAATTAAGCTTAATATTTTTTGACATAGATCACTTTAAAAATGTCAATGATAAATATGGACATGAGGCGGGTGATTGTGTTTTAAAGCAGTTAGCTGCTTTTATTGTAAAAAATCATGTTCGCTCGGGAGTTATTTTCGGAAGATATGGCGGCGATGAGTTTGTTATTCTGCTCAAAGATACTGACGCTGAGTCGGCCTTCGAAATTGCCGAGAAAATTAGGGCCACGGTTAAAAAACATACATTTCTTTATAAAGAAAAATCATTGTCAATCACACTTAGTATTGGAGTCGCGGAAACGAATTCATTGTTAAAATCTGCTCAAGAACTACGTGAAGACGCTGATTTTGCATCGATTAAGGCAAAAAGATGTGGTCGAGATCAAGTTGTGATGTGGAAGAAAGATCAAGGTATTTCATAATTCATAAACACATTTGATAAAGAAATCTCATATCTAATGTAAGAATTTTTGCGTATAACTTACTACGTATAATTTTTCATTTTACATTTTTAATTATATGACATTCCGCAGAGGCCCTGGTATTGCAAGATAATCGCACGCAAGGATTTATCGATGATTTAAGTGATCCATCTAATTTGCACAGCCTTAAAATGTTTGTTGAAAACAATAAAATACTACTATCCTCAAACGTGCTGATTAAAGCTTTGGAAAGATTATCGGATACTTCTCATTTTAAAATTTATGAAGAAGAAACAAGTTCTCATTTGGAATTGCATCTTAGAACTTATGTTGCGGTGATCGAAAAGATTTTTTATTTCAAGAATGGTTTAGAAACAGAATTTCGGGACACTTTATACAATGGTCTGGAAAAATTAGCAGGAATTTATTATGAACTATCAAGGACCCAAAAGAATAATGATGATGCTGGCAACAATTCAAACGCTCAAATTAATTTTCAGAATTATAACATCAACTTCCTTCTTATTCATCTGAAGGATACTTTACAGGATATGAAAAATGAGAACTACCCTTCTCTAAAATTTTTCAGACAAGCAAAAAGCACTCTAATGAATATCTTGAAAATAAAAAATTCCTCCACTGCAATTAATACCGAATATCCCATTTCCAAGTGGTATGGCCGTTGGCGCGAGCTATTGACTATTAATAACACCTTGGAAACATTAAAGGATGACGAGAATTATCGTTTACTAATAGAAAACGGAGAGATTATGCTTTTGGAAATCATTTGGCAGTATGTGTTTGATGAATGGTGCAACTCGTCGCAAAGTTGTGATGAAATTATGAATGACAGATTTTCATTTATCAATATAATGAAAGATAACGAATCAGATACTTTGCCAAATCTGTTATGGTTTGGAGTACTGGATTTTGCCCAAATAATTAGCCGTAAAACTTCAAGAGAAGTAGTTTCAGCTTTGTGCTATTATATAGGTCTAGAATCTTTGGAAAACTCTAACAGCAATTTCATAAGATATAAAGCTTTAGAACTGTTACTCGAGCTGTCATGTAGAAAGCCCATTTTATTTGGCGATATTGTTAAATCCGATGTCGATCGTCATGAAATTCCAAGTTTCCTGACCGATAAGATTGGGCAAAAGATCAGGATTGATGGCAATATTTGCGTCGAATCAGAAGAACCTACAATAAAATCTCGAAAGGGAAAACAAAAAGCCACATCCAAACCTATAGAGATTATTTCGGATAAACTGACATGTCCAATAACGAAAGTTATCACCGGGAATTTTTGTACTTTAGAGTGCGGACATTCGATCAGTAAATTTGCAGCTGATGAATGGAAATCGATATTGCAAATTGAAGATAGACAATTTACATGTCCACAATGTCGTGCCCCAATAACCCAGGAATACTTTGATTTCTGTCAGGATGCTATATTAAAAGGGATAGGCAAACGATTGGAAACCGACAATACTGATGATATACCATATGAATTAAATAAATTAGATAATTTACCATCAAATTCTTCGCACGAGTTCAGAGATGACGTGTTTATAAAATTAGACAAATTGCATGTCTATGGAATAACGAAGTCAACAAAACTTTTTAACAAAGTGAAACCCAAAAAGTTCGATCTCGCATATCATAAGGCAACTACGGCTGAGACACAAAAAGATAATTTAAAAGCTATCTTATGGTATACACGTGTACTGAAAAACTACCCGAAAAGTTATTCGATTAGATGCAAAAGGGCGGAAAATGCCGAAAATCTTAAATTATATTCGAAAGCACTTATGGATTTGGAAGATGCAATAAATTTAAAACCTAAAAAGTCAAAGGCCTACATACGCAGTAGTCAAATATATCTTCATCGTAAAATATTTGACAAAGCATTGGAAAAAATTCAGAAAGCATTGGAAATTGAATCTAACAATTTGTCGGCATTAATAATACGTGGAAAAATTTATTTTGCGTTCAGTAAGTATGAGGAAGCATTGAAAGATATAGAAAAGGCATTAAAAATTGAACCTGATAACTTATCAGCACTAATTATGTGTGGAAAAACTTTGTTTTCACTTAATCGATACGACAAATCATTGGATAATTATAAAAGAGCAAATCAAATCAAACCCAACGATGCTGATATTTTATTGGCCTTGGGAAAAATATTATATGAATTAAAATCTTACGAATTATCCTTTTCCTATTGGGGTAGAACCTTAAAGATTAGCTCGAATTATGCAAGGCAATTGCTGGATTACGAAAAGTTGTATGAATTAGATTTATCCAATTGCAACATCGGTGATTTGTCTGGACAAACATTAGGAAAAGCTCTAGATGAGAATGTCTCACTGAAAAAGCTAAATTTATCTAACAATAACCTTGGTGATTCTGCAGGAAAAGCCTTGGCCCAAGCTTTATATAATAATAATAATTTAAAACATCTGAATTTAGGGAACAATCAACTAGGAGATTCGGCGGGACAGACAATTGCAGAGGCTCTATGCAAAAATACCACCTTGACTCATTTAAATGTGTCCAATAACCAGCTAGGCGATCTGTCAGGAAAAGCACTGGCTGAGGCTCTGTACGAAAATAGAGTACTAACCTATTTAGATTTTTCCGACAATCATTTAAGTGATTCGGCGGGGGAAATGTTAAGTGAGGCTTTATGCAGCAATACTAAATTGGCATATTTGAATATATCTAATAGTAAGTTGGATGATGACGCGGGAATAATTATGGCTAAATCCTTATGCGAAAATATCTCACTGATGGTATTAGACTTGTCGAATAATTGGCTAGGGGATTTGGCAGGAAAAGCAATAAGTGAAGCTTTAAGTAGCAACAATAACCTTATTAATCTGAACCTATCTGGTAACAAATTTGAGCATTCGACAGGAAAGGCTCTGGCTGTAACTTTATGCAAGAACACCACTCTGACAGAATTGGATCTTTCAAACAATAAATTGGATGATGTTGTAGGAAAGGAATTAGCTGAGAATCTAAACCAAAATATCTCCCTGAAAATTTTGAATCTTTCCAGCAATAAACTAGGTGACCGGACAGGGAGAGCTTTGAATCTGGGCAAAAATCTCACTCTGACCAAATTGAGTCTTTCTAATAATCAACTAAGTGACTCCGCAGGGAAATCATTAGGAAAATCTCTTCGCGAGAATACCACCCTGAAAGAATTAGATTTGAGTCGGAACAAATTAAGCGATCTAGGAGGAAAGGATCTAATGGATTCCTTGAGTATTAATACTTCTCTGGCAAGTTTGAATATATCCAACAATAGACTAGGCAATCTAACAGGAAAGTCTTTAGCCGTGGTTTTACGAAAAAATACCTGTCTGAC